CGATTAGGACGTTCTTTGCCTTCTCAACTACATCTGCAATGTCCAGCTAAGTTCCCTGGACCGTTTGTGTCCTTTTGCTCAGATCAGAAGCTGTGTACCGTCGTAGTGATTTTCCAACCATGTGCACATAAATGGAACACTAGGAAAAATTCGTACTGTGAGGGTTGGAATATCAGGAACAGATCCATTTCTAAAGAAAATTTTTCTAGATGAAACCGAAGACCGACCAATCCACACGAGTGATCGGAATCGACAAGCACTCATTCTATATGGGTGGTATTTGATGTCACAAGGACGATGTGATTATTGAGAGAAAGAACCACGGGGAAGACACATTTATTCTCTCTGATATGCTAGATGGGTAATGGACGTGGCAGGTAAAGAATGAAGGTGAACTTGTAATGACTTCTAGATGAGTAATTGCCCCGCTTGGACATCGGAGATCAGTCTCTAAAGCGTAAAGATAAGAGTTTGACGTTGATCAACCCTTGAAGGATGCGCTATGCGTTCGACTTTGTCAAGCATCGTAGAGGTGATTGAATGCATATCCAGGTTATACAATAGCTTGCTGTAACCTGCCGTTGTATTAAATCTGCATTTTAACCTTCGCAGACAAATCTGGTGCCAATTTTCCGACTCCGTGTGGATGGAAGGCTGGCTGAGCGCTGGGCATGGGATTGAACCAGTAACCGATCCACGGTGTGTTGCAGGTCACTCCCACCAAAAGAGTCTGTGTGTTCCACTGGCACAACTTGATCAGAGTTTCTATGTGCTCTAAATGGTCAAGCTCTAACAAGCGTTACTCGTGCTTCTTCCAAACTATGCAACTTTGATGTATATTGCTTCATTGGCAAGCTAATACGAGTTTGTTATAAAAGTTTATTCTGCTAGCGTGGCGACGTCCTCGTCTTCTTCAGAGCGGCGATGATTACAGATTGTTCACAGGCGTTCGTCCTTGCGATATGGGCCTTTTAATTCGCATCTAGTCGTATTAAAATCATGCAGCTTCAATTAAAACTGTTCTTTTATTTAAGATCTTTCTCTCATAGACCTTCGTAGAGCTTCGTAAGCTTAGGAGTATGTTGGTAGGTACCTGCAGTTAGTGCAACTTCATAATGGTATGTCGGATTAAGAATATCAAGAGACGCATGTTTTTTAGCTGCCTATGAGGGTCCAATAGGTTGCAGAAGTCCTACACAACTTTGAAATCGGTAAGGGAAAACTCTTAATTTACGATTGTTCCTGGAGTTTTATGTTGTCATGGAGTTTATGACCTTTCCGACGAGAAGTCTCTGTCCTATGTCATAAGCTGCATTTAACGACAAGTGTTTTCTCTCAGTCCGACATCGTCGTCGTTGACCTTCCTGCCTGGTTTGCACTTTGGGTTTCCTAAATTGAAGCTTCGATTATCAACGCTAATGTAGTACAATTGGAGACTGTCATCACAACATTATGTTTAAAAGCTGAAATCTTCGCTGTGATTTTCGCAAGCCTTCCTAACTACATGTGAACGAGTGGATATTACTACTTCTTAAATTAATAAAATTTCCGACATAAAAAGCCCCAAGTGCTACTGATCATTCTCTCTACGAGTGCTCCGAATTCCTAATTTTGATGTTCTCTAGGTGCTGTATTAACTCGTACGAGCTGTTCACCAATGTACTATAGTGCTGCCTAATAGTTATGCTGATGGCCAATGTTCCTGTGTTGTGCTGTTAGAGCACCTCTACTGCATTCATAGCCCTGCAACCACCACCCACAATGGCGACTGAGAAGGTTCATTTGTGAGTGAGGTTACATCTTGAGGATCTCTCATCTTTTTTTCTACTCATTATCACGTTCATTGATCGTTGATTGTGGGTTTTTCTTTTTCCTAGGAATACGTAGATGTTCGTAGTAAGACTTGCTCAGGTATTTCACCATATTCGGTCGCCAGCTCTTATTGGATCAGACGGAGATTTGCTTCCTTGTGAGCAAGATTCTTACCGGACGGTAGCGATACCAGTGATTAGTTTACAGAACGACCGTCGACGAAATGACGAACCAAATCCTTCACGTATATATAGGGAAATGTAAATCAACCCAGAACGCAGGAGCATCTCAAGGAATGTACATTCCCACTTTACGTTCGCCATTTGGGATGCATCAAATGGCCTTGTGAGTAGAATGGCTTCGAAACCCTTGCATAATAATGATTGTAACACATGACCGTAGTACTGAAAAGGTCTCCATCATTTTCTGAAGCTCTTCACCACTTGGAATAAATGCAGTTTTACCAATGGAAAATTCGACGACACACATAGACGTGCAACCCCTGCTTAGCCATCGGTAATTTTCTGTCTAGCCAAATCAATTTGTTCTACAGTTTCGGGATTTTTCGCGGAAAACTTTCATATTTTCGAAAGCTTCACATAAGTGATAGAAATAAACTTCTGGGTGCTAAAGTTCACTATACAGTTCACAGCTCCTGCGTGACAATTGTAAGGGTCATATACATTAGGTGTGTTCTTTATCTTCTCATCTTTACTAGAGATTGCTAGATTACAGAAAATCCGCTTCCATTCAGCAGATTCATTAGAAATCTGGTTCAGATATCAGCAGTTTTCGATGATTGTTTGGACGGCGCATTACAACACGTAATTCCAGGCAGTGCTTGTTGTGTGTTGAAACCTATGCGTGTTGTCCACTGTGCCCCCCAAATGACTTCTCCTTTTTTTGTCTTTTTTCTCTAGAGCCCATTTTACTGTAATTTGCTATTAATTTCTGTTTTTTTAAAAAATATTCCCTGCGTCCTTTGTCTTCTATGTATCTTTCCATTTCTTTGGAATATACCTGATGAAACCTACACCTCCAGCTACAGTACAGGAAGAATTAGGTAGTCAGTTTTGCAACACACGTCAATTGTACTAGGTTGTTTAGCAATTAATGGAGAATTTGTAACTTCATTTTCTTTGTATACCTTTCAACTACATTTTTCCGAATTCTGTACCCCTAGAGAAGGAGTCTGGCTTTTGCATCAGGAAGCCTAGCTAAGCGTAAACCAATACCAGAATCCACTACCGTCGTGGTATCAAAGTCGCATGGTGGCAGATTTCTCTCTGATCCACATGTGCTGCAACTGCCTGTGGTGTTCGAGACCTGGGGCTGACTCTGGCCGGGCTGGCTTCGGGATTCCAGAGAACCACAATGGTTTAACCAGCAAATCTCCGAAAAATAGTAATTATGATGGAGCCTGCGCAACCAGTGTGGACGGGCCGTTCAAGTACCAAGTAGGTAAGTAAGTAAGTACCCCCCATGGAGCAATATAAATAAGTACCCCCATGGAGCAATACAAACCCTATTTTGTCTCTTTAGCTCTGTATAACTGAACTACAGTATAACTCGTATCTCCGACAAATTCTACAGCGTAGAGATTGCAATGTCAAGACAGCAAATTTGACCCACTTTTTTCTTACCGATTCAAACTCCGAAGTACGCAGCATGACGGCTCGAAATATGAATGACCTTTGGAGCCAAGGAAGTGTTAATGAACGAGCAGTGCAATGTTGGTCTCGAAATTGTCACTGTCGTGGATTCGAGTGGAAGTATACAGATGTCCTGCTATTGAGCATGATGAATTGATAGCTTTGAGAGAATAAAATACACACACCGATATTCGAGAACTTGCAAGAAAACCAGCTAAGTTGAACACGTATTGGATCCCATTTTTTGTTGACAGTGATTTAGAGTTAACAAGTTATAGACGTTGGAGACACTATTAGATTCCTTGTTTACAGTAGACTAGTCCAAGTGATTGGGCACGACGAAGAGAGTAATGAAGAGTTAATACACCGTCGTGCATCACTATCCTATGGATCTTCCAGGATAGCCAACTTGGTTTTGGTGCACTGCTTTGGGCCCGTGCTGAAAATCGACGGATTCACTAATTGAATTCTACTACTTTGTTATAATGTTTGGAGGCACCACTGCGACACACACGTGGAATAGGTCCCCGAGCCCATGGCCCAACAAGCCTTCCATCTATCCAGGGTCGGCGAATTGGTACCAGACTTTTCTGGGAAGACAGCAGCAATGGCTCGATACATCGGCAAGCCACCGCGGGTCACTGTAAAGGCCAAGTATGCAACCTCCAACGATATTTAATGAAGTCGAATGCATGGCGCATACCTCAGGGAATGATCAACGCCGATAGCTTTATCCTTTTATCATTTTACCTTGTTATAGGAGAGTCAAACAGATGTAGACAATAGTAGTAGGCAGTCATAAGAACCTTCGTCTACTGAACCGATGAAAACACTCATTGGTTTGTGCTCTAGACTACTGCGGATGGGTGCTGTTCCAGCTCCATTCCTGGCCTTGGGTCGGATCCCAATGGATTCGAATTACTGACCAGGGACCTGAAAACTTATTGCTCCAAACTCATTTCCCTAATAATGTAACAAGGAATGAGCAATCTATTTACCGACCTTCCTAAAACTAACTCTACCCAAATATGTATCACCGGAACAGATGTTGTATCGAATAGCCCTTCGTCCCATACCAGTCTCCCAGAAAATGCAACCCTAAGCAATATCCTCAAAAATGGAAACTTTCTAACCACTTTAACCCACAATAACCTACTGCATAGCAACTTCTCAAACATTTTGACCGGCTGTATATAAAACTTCAATTCTATATTGTTCTTGAAAGCTCAGTAGTTGCTTCGAAATAAAACATTCTATGTTGGGAACGAGAGCGCTTTATATGGAACAGTCACTCTGAACACAGTCTAGAACAAGAACAATTGAATAAAATTGCACAACAAGATCAGTCATTCAAGGAAACAACCGGAAGCGAGCCATTTGATAAATAACAGCGCTCGCTTCCCAAAGATCACGAACACACTACGCATGGCGATAAATATTCACAAACAATACGCCGGAAAATAATTATGGAAAGTGTAGCACTGGGTAAGCGTTCGAAAACAAACAAAACATTCAACAGACAACAGTGCCTTGTTCTCATTCTGCGACAACCTGCTCCATCGGTTCTGGTTTCTCTTCAAAAGGGCTTTGTTTCTCATTTTGTTTCTCGGCCTAAAAGGATACCTTGTGTATTGACGATGTACCCTTTCACAGTTTCAAAAAACTTGAAAGCAAAAAACAGCAAGAGCATTACCTGGAAATCACTGGCGATCTTCGAAAACAGATTCCTGTAACGCCTCTTGTCACGTTCAAGTTGCTCCTTCATCATCTGACGAACAACTAGTAGTTGCTGAGCAGCCGCCTATAAACTGCAGACTTTAGATCAATCCGACAGATACTACAGTAACCACAACAGTTTTGAATTTGATAACCTTGTTCTCCGAATCGATTCTCAGAATGGTCTCGTATATCGATTTTGCTTCATCAAGATCACACAAAGCGGTACGTGCTCCAGCTTTTCGATAGAGAGCTTTCACATTATCAGGCGAAAGTTCAAGTGCCTAGAAGAAATCACAACTAATACAATTATCCCTTACTGCACCACTTCTTTTCTTTTACCTGGTCGCCACACACAACACCAGGTTCCGGATTACAAAGCAGCTGTTAGTTCGTCGACAATATATAATCTTTACAACTAAAAGACTTCAAGTATTCAGAGGACGCTAGCACTAGAACAGACTGCTCTGTCCCTCCAGCCGCAAGCACTTTATGGCACAAGTGTTACTATAGTCACCCATACTGTCACATTGCTATCAACATTCTGAACTTTTTCCAAAGTTATAATATATAACTCGGTATTTTTTATATCTACCTAGTCCATACTTTAACTATGATTCATCGCAGTGATTGGGATTGAGACAATGACCAAGTTTCAGTCCAATTACTTGTCAATAAGTTTTTCTTTGGTCCGACCCTCTCTAACTAACACGATCTACTTCTGACAAGCTACCGAGTGAACGTGAAAAGTGCGTGAAAGAAAAATTTCCATATGACAAAACAAAGCACCGAAAGAGAAAGGCATTGCATACAATCGGATTGTACACTACGGCCAACCACGCGCGACTACACAGGATACACGCCGTCCGCTAAGGGTTAAATATCTGATTAAAAATAAGCAGAGAAAGTCGCAAAATCAGTCTCCATGAAGTTTGGTTATGAAACAAGAGAATATCATGCACATGAAAAGAACTATACCTTGTCACAATATTTGATGCAGTCAACGTTCTCACCCATTTTTGACGCAGTCAATGAGAGATTGAGGTAAGCTGCCAGCAACAAGTCATTCCGAACCTTAATATAAGTCATGCATTGAAAACTACCCATTTAGAAACCCGAAACTTTTATGTCAAATTACCAGTGCGCGACGAAATCACCTTAAAAACTGAACTAAGGCCTTAAAAATACAACTGAGTTTGCACATAATTCCAACCTTGCTGTGATCTGGGTCCATATTCTTTTCGTACTCTAAGATATCCTCAATCCTTTTGTATTTATTATATGCCAACTTCAGCTTGTTCTCCTTGAAGAAGTGAGTGCCACGATCTTTAGCACGGGTCGCCTCTTCAAGTTTTTGTTCTGTCGTCATCTCCCATGTGGCAGGCACCTGTACGAAACTGAGTCTAGCAGCAAAGAGTGAGCATTCTTAGAAAATCAAACCTTCTCAAAGCTTTTCAAGAATATGGTGAACTCAATCACAGCATTTGGCGGTAAACCGTACTCAGGCGGAGGATTTGGTCCGTATGAAAACCTAAAGTAATGAAGATATTCAAACTATAAAAAGAAGTAGATTGAGGACAGCCTGACATGCGAACTACATTGCTCTGGCAACAATCCAAGAACTTATAGACAACAAAAACTAGAGTACATGAACGCCTACCCTATTTTAAGGCATTAAAAAAGGATAGAATATAAAGCTCTCGGCACTGATCAACCCTGAGAGATGCGCCATGCATTCGACTTCACTAAGCATCGTTGGACGTGACTGAATGGATACATGGCCTGTCCAACGGCTTGCTGTGGCCTACCGATGTATGGGACCACGGCTGATACCCTCCTGCACAAGCTTGGTACCAATTTACCGACCTCGGAGAGATGGAAAGTTTGGTGAATCTGGGGAGGTGGGATCCATCTCATGTGTATTTTAGGGATCGTATGACCAACACGTGCTCCCTATTTTAAGGCGTTAAGAAGTAAAAACACCGATGAAAATGAATAGATATATTGCCTCGAGAAAAAAACTTTTTCATTTAAGTTGTAAAAAAGAAATCCTTGTAAAACGGCATGCAAGACTTTCCAGACAAAACTGCCCACCTGCTACCTGAGAGTCGTATGGTAGATTTTTCACCACGACAGAAGCGACGTAGTGCACGATCAACTCCTTCAGGAAGCCCTACCTTGAAGAATATGAATTTCACATATACCTACTTAATGATTTAAACGGTAAATTATACCACCTCAGATCCTTCTCCAAGAACAAATGTGATATCCTTGTCATAGAAAACTCTACCCTCATACGTACCAACAGCATGCACTGAAAATATTCAATACACTGAACAAACAAATGAAGCAATTCAGAAGAGGTGTTACAACTGCACATCGTCCGATCAACAAAGGCAGACAAAATTCCTGCGCGAATCCAATATGCAGTGCAGCCCACTATAATTTAGAAACTCTTTAGGTAGAAAACTAGCAGAAAGAAAGGCAAAGCAAGGGCCTCAGTGGCTCAGTTTGTAACACGCGAGCCCCAGGAAACTGTAATCGTGGTTCGATCTGGCCTACGGTCCAAGTTTTGTGAATATCTAGGCATCATTGTGGTTGTATTTCACATTATACCCTGATACCCTGCCCTGAATATTATAATATGCAGCAAATAAAAGGTTGACACTGTGATTTTGTGATTTTAATACGCAGTCTTACACTGCAGTGAGATTATTACTCGTTGTAGAAATAATATCAGAATTTAGTAATCTCGAAAAACAAGAGTGCTTCTTGCTACCGTTAAAGAAATGCTTCTCACACCGCAGCCGTGCTATTTCAAAGACATCGCAAAATGCTCTACTTTCTTTATTCACGAATAATTTTATTCGCGTTTGCTCAACAAAAATACGAAGAATTACTTCATCAATGCCGAGGTTAATAGAAAGTCAGTCGTGGGAGCTCTACTTTCTCTTTGGTCTTAAACATGTACTGGACAGCGGTTTCTTGAATGATTGTACAGTAATTCAATGATCTAACATTTCTGTTTATTTACATCAATCTTCGAACTTCAAGTAATAGAGATTCAAACCAAAGAAGAAACGGGCTCCACTCTGTCCATCTCATATCCTCATGTTGATTTACGGCTATACTGTTACATAAACTGTTCGGTAGCCTTGACTTTACCTATTAACTTTAGTTTATTTTTAGATGACTCGTCATCACATCTGCTATAGGGGTCCCGCATATCTTGAATTCGATTCGTTTTCCTCGCGTTCAACGTCCAAAAAGTCTGCGAACACTTCGTGTGTTGTTCTGGCTGCCGTTTGCGAATTTTGTCTTCGTTATGGCGTAGAATGATAATCGAACCGAATCTTACAATCATGGAAACAACCAAGCTAATACGTTCCCACGTGGATTGGATGAGGGGGTTGGGAGGGTCTCGAACCACCCTGAAGCACTTTCCTATCCAATGCCTTATCGCCTATGGGTAGATTTGTTTGTTAACAAAACAGAGATTCCAACTATTTGCAAAACTCCGGACCGCATGTGCAGGCGGTGGGGAACGAACGCGCTATTGTCCTTACCGGGGAGTAGCGCACTTCACCAACACACCATCCGGGTCCTTCGTTTCGCCTGTCTCTCAGCTAGTTCTATCGATCTTTTGTCATCGGCACTCACCCGCCAACGGGTTAGCTTCGCCTTCACCTGGGAAGCTCAAGTTGGTCGCAACCTACCCAGACAATTACCTCCATAAACTCCTTGAATGGGTAGATTGTTGTCAACTTGACCTTTCAAAACTCTGAGGAAGGCGAAATCTCCCGAGACGTCAGTTTGTTCGTTAATAAAGAAAATAATCTCGTGTTCGCTTAATAAGAATACAAAGCAACTTCTGAATCAGGTGATAGTCGGCGGAAAACGGTGTAAATGCCGTACCTTCGACAGGGCTTGTTTCACTTGGACTTGCGTGTTTTTCTCCCTCGACAATCATCGAACGCATTATTGTACCATCGCGATTTGGTGAGATGTCTTCGGCTTGCCAGTCAATCAGCTCTACCTTGATAAAAATGGATTTTTCGACAAAGTAAAATAGAATTACAAGAACTGCGAGTACCTCAAAGTTCAGGGTAGCATTTGGTGGAATTTTCGGCATACTACCTTTATCTCCATATGCATAGTCCGATCGTATTTTAAAGTCGGCTATTTCACCCTTCTTCATTGTTGCAACACCAAGATCCCATCCTTTGATAACCTGGAAAACATCATCGACGACATTTAGCAAGACCAGCAATTTCAGAAATAAGACGAGACAACCTGTTCTCGCCCTAACAGAAATTCAAACGCGTTAGCACGGTCACGACTTGAGTCGAACTGCTCTCCATTTTCCAAGGTCCCGACATAGTGCACCTAAAAACAGACACTCCAATCTATTTCACTACAAGAGCAGTTAATGGCAACAACAGTGAACATCTTTGCGTGAGACATAAGCTCGTTTGTACGATCGACATAACATGAAACTTCCTGCATTCCCATTTACAGCAGAAAAGTACAAAGCTTCCTTCATTACCATCTAGAAATGAAAAGTAGAAAGCACCCTGAATTCCTATCTAGAGAGGAAAAATACAAAGCCTCTTGCACTCCTACCTAGAGAGGAAACCTTCCATCATTCAAACTAGAAACTTCCAGCACTGTGCCAATGGCCAAAAACACAATTTGGTGTTTTTGAAAATCTCGAATTCATGGCTTTTGAGAATAACTACAGTTTAACATGTAGAACGGATATCCAAGTATAACCTTTTCCACTACAGCACGGAGCAAAAAACCTATTATGAACATCACGAAGACAACCACCAGTTACTTTTGAATACGTAGGAATATTTATTGGATGGGAACTTCCCAAATAAACTTCCTCATAGGAAGTGGTAAAATAATAGCGGTAAAAGAAAAGCAATGAGTAAAAACTATACGTCAACAACAGATATGAATACGCTGATAATACTTACAAAAAAAAACTCGCAATGGAAATATCCGAACGACAGTGAGCACACAATGAGACAGAAAAGGCACAATTAAGCCTTAACAAAGATCGTATTACCGCTATGATGCTGAGATATTTGCAAAAACCCGGACCACTGGTGTTTGCGGTGGGGACCAACACGCGGTTGTCCTTTCCGGGGAGTAACGCGTTCACCACCACACCATGCGGGTCCACGGTTTCATCTGTCTCTCAGCTGTCACTAGGACCACCACATCGATATTCACCCTTTGATGGTATGCAACTCGACATCCGAGCTACTTCAATATCAACGTTAACTTAAAAAGACCTCACAGAATCACTAAAAGATGACTCCTGCTAAACAGCATAGCACCGTGGTCAGCCTGGCCAAAGTCTGCCCCATGTCGTCACCACCGCAGACAGTCGCAGCCTTTGTGGATCAGAGCGACATTTGCAACCATGCGACTTTGATACCAGGACGGTGGTGGATCCTGGTATTGATTTACTCCTAGCTAGGTTTCCTGATGGAAACGCCTGACTGCTTCTCAGCTTGGAAGACCCTACCAGGGGATGATTCCTCCGCTGTACATCGCAGTCCGACACCCAGGAACACCTCCCAGCCATGATGAGGAGGTAAACCGTTGGAAGGTCTCTTCTTCGTTAGTCACCAGAAACCATGTATAAGTGGTCATGCATTGCATACTATGCATCCACATGCACATATATATCCTTATTTATGTGTAATCTGAACAGCAATAAATAACTGTGAGATATCACCTTAACCGACGTTCCCGAAGTTGGTTTAGCCGTTCCACTTCCCTCCTTTCTAATGGTCTTCAAGACGCCACCGTCCTGCAAAAACGGAACATTGCATGGAAGAATCACATAAGACAAAGATGGAAGCATAATCGAATAGTCATAAAGCAAAAATCTAAAACTCATGTACCTTCTTCGGCGTGATGTCAACTGGTTCCGTTGACGACATTATAACACACTTCAAGACTCTACAAATCAAACAAGCATAAACTTCATATCCACGAACTACACTACCGACTTCAAGCAAACACCTGACAAGAAGCAAACACGAAGAGCCACCAATACACAACGATCAATAAACGGAAGACAATAAATTCGCGGAGGTCACCCTGAGAGACGGAGGCTTTTATATCCGTCGTTGGCGAATTTTCTCGAATTTGTGTGAAAACACGTCGATTTAGACGTATGGTGTGCAATTTTGTGGAATGTCTAGGATGTTTTCTTGTTTTGTCTTTGCTTTTAGCCCGGGATACTACATAGTTAAATCCGGGAGTCGCTAGAATCTTTTAAAATATAGCCCACATGGGAGAAAGAATAGGTTTATTGGAATGTGCGAATTATGCCTATGACCAAGAGCCTTTGGATAAATTCTCATGTGTTGATTTGTTAGAGATTTGAAAATGGTGAGAGTTTGCGATAAATCGTTAATATTTTCTTCACTTAAGTCGTTTAGTTCTTTCCAAGAAGTAAGGACTTGTCAAATCTCAAGGGTTTTAACGCTTGGTTTACAGGAATGTCAGATGAACAAACAGAAGAAAAGCCGGTAGTGAATAGCGCAGCTTACGGTGATTGCAATCAGCCTCAATATCGCACTGTTCCAATGAGTCGTACGGGTGTTCAGAGCGAGCCATCAGTCTCTGTTGTGAGGTAGCCTGTCTCTTGCATTGAATTTGTCACCATTCTTAGGTCCTAGCACCAATTTTATCCCATGTATTTTTTGGCGTTTGCTCTGAAGCAGCGCAGTGGTCGGAGGCGCACTGCAATACATATAGGATCGTTTCCCACGCTCCGGGCCCACAAGCGTTCCATTCTTCCTGAGTCGGCGAATTGGTACCAGCCTTATGTAGGAGGATTGCAGCACTAGCTCGATGCATTGGCAGACCACCTCGAGTCATTTTAAAAGGCAGATATAAGTTCACTCATCTCCAACGATTCTTAATGAAGCCGAATCCATGACGCGTCCCTCAGGGATTGGTCAGCACCGAGAGCTTTTTCCTTTCTTTTTTTATTCGTGAGTCCATTCTCGAACCGACAAGGAACTAAATGCTTTTTAGCGAAATTTTTTCTAGGTTAGTTTTCCAAGTTTTCTTTTTCTAAGTTTAGTCGTTAGCTATATCCGTTCTTTTCTTATCTTACCATGTTTTTAGAGATGATATCCAGATTCCCCTATCAACATTGCAGCAGAATCTCCTTCAAGGAAGTACCCAGGTAATTAGTACTTACGCCTGTTTCTGAGAAGTACGGTTTCCACAAACAAGTGAACAGAATATAGTTTTGGTAACTGTTAACTGCTAGGGACCTACATCGGTCCATTTCCACTCACATGGTGCGAAAATAGTGGTCGCTTTCAACTTTAAACCAACAATTTTCATTAAACCAACATGTCTTGTCAACATGCAACATTAAATTAAACCAATATATTTCAGTTCAAAGTAAGCATTAATACTTGAGATGACAACTACTAGAATCCGCTGATTTCTGCCTATAGGATTTTTCGCGCTCTTTTTCTTAAAATCAAGGCTCGTGTTTCGAAAGAGAAGCAGTTGAACATACGGTATTTCGTCTTTTATTACGCGATGATCTCCTCAGATGCATTGCTAATATTTATGGCTTTCGGGATTTGGTTTGAAATCCTAAAAGTTTAAAATTCCATTCCATTTGTCTAGGAGATTTTAATTCTAAACAACTTTGGAAGTCAGTTAACAGTTTCAAAGAACTGTACTTATTCTTAAATTGATAAGGTAAATTCTCTTCTACAGTGTAAGCCGATGTAAGTGTTTTAGAGTTTTCAGTTATTCTAGTTATCGAAGAGTTATCCACAATCTGCAAAAAGCCGTCTTTGGCGAGGACCCTAATTGTTAAAAGGTGGTGAGGAAGAACTGAGTCATGTGAGATTCTGGTACAATGTCCTCTGGCTTCACCAAGGCTTTCGTCCTTCTAAGGTCGATGGTTTGATGCGACGATAGTTGCCAGGACCAATTCACTCCTTCGAATCTGTCCAGGGGCGCTCTAGCCCATCTCTTCAATTACTCGAGCGAGGATCGCCCTGAGCAGCATTTAACGACATTCACAAAGAAAACAGCAGTTTTCAAGCACCAGCCAATGTCAAGGGTGTAGAGTTCAACGAACTTCGTGGTTGATGGATGTAAGGAAACGAATGAATGCAAGAAGTTCTGATATCGGCACAGCAGATATGAAGACGAGTCATTCAAAAAGGAGAAAACAGTTAGTACGTAGTGAGGTTTCATCAAGTATTTTGCATTCTACCGAAACTATATACTATATATACTATATATTTCTTTTTAACGGCAAGGTATTTTGCGAAATATGACTGTTAGGTGTTGGTTTAGGATGTGACCAGCATTAACATGCGTGAATTTATCAATGAATTGGAAGACTACGTACCAACGATTCCTGATGCAGTCACGGTGCACTTTATGCGGACATGTGGGTGCGATTGTAGTGATCCCAGAATAGTGAGGTAGTTTCAAAGGTTTAAGCTTTTTTTTATTGAAATGCAGATTTTAGTGCTATCTAGCTGGTATCTGAGTAACCAAACTGGAATTCATTTGTCATATGTACCTATGAATTGTGATACCTTTATCACGTAGAATTAAGTATTGCTTACCTACATACATATCCTGCCGTGGAAAATTGTACTAGGAAGTAAATAGAAAGTTAACATTATGATCTCGACTACAGCCTCCGCTTAACTGGCTTCAATGCCGATTTGGGCTGCCCAGATCAATCCTGTTGACGGATGATTGCTTATGGCACTGGTAGATAGAAAATTAGTTGAGAGAAAGGGGAAACGAGGGGCCCACACAGTGTGCTGGTGAATGCATTAGCTCCGGAAAGAGTAGTAGCGTGTTCGATCCCCGCCGCAAACACCGGTCCGGAGATTTGGCAAATATCTCGGCATCATTGTGATTCCTTACTTGTTTCGAACTAGATTTCCCTTTAGAAATCCAACCATGCTTTCAGATTAGTGGCTTTGGCTACTCAAAAATACGTCTCTGACATAATTCTGGACGCAATGCAACAAGTAAGTAGCAGATATGTTGATATTCCCGTGATTTCCTGCACAACAATTGTTCTGCTTGGTTTTAGGCACGAATGAAAGGGCTTGGACAAACGAAGAAGGGAACGAAGGAAACACGGTACTGTCTTACAACTGAAGTTCTTGAGCCCGTTCTCAAAGAATACGGTATTGACTTTGTTCTGCCTCCTTACATGCATTAAGTTAGTTATCTTGATTCCCTTGTAATGTTACTTCGGAACATATTGAGATGCTTCCTTTTGCGTTTATGCAATTAGGGTCTGCTCTGATTTCTTCTGAATATCGGAGATGTATACTTCATGTTTATTTTATCCTTTATAGTACTTCACTTCAAGGAAAGAAGGTACATAGTGAGTTATAAATGGCATTTTCTTGTATTATTTGTGTACGTTGCTCAATAAATGCTCTAAACATACTTTTAACTTTTGAGTTGCTTGCTGAAGTTATGTCAACAACCTTCTTTGAATCTTCTATACAGTTTACTCAGTTATTTTTTGGCCAGCGGTCTTCTCATGAAGTATGCCTGGTCGTTTATTCTTTGCATATCATTTGCGTACGCAGAACTGAGATCGCCCCGATTTCTATGCGCCCAAGAAGAGCAAGGAAAAAATGGTTTCTATGAATAGGATGTTTCCCATACTACCGCTGGTCCGTCGAATGTCCTATCTTGCATCTAGATACACTGGACGAGGTGATGTACATGTGGTAGATCCTGCAGTCGATCTGAGGTAGGTCCTTCTTATAGAACAACGGAGAATGGTGAACACACAGTCTAACGCGCTTCTGGAAAGTGCTGATCTATAATTTCTTCTAGGTATATCTTTGAGGATACCGAGAAGTTGCGTCGTTCACTAGAGGAGCGTCGTAGTAATGTTGATATTACCCAAGTGAAGGAAAATTATGACGCATGGCTGGACAAGTATCAAACATGGAAAGCGTCGGCTGATCAGTCTAAGGTAGTTTAGCTATAGTCATCTCACAACCGTTCGTAGAGTAAGTGTCTACATGCGCTCTAACGAGGTCTATTTTTCCTACAGATAGGAGAAAGCGGAATTATGAATTGGAGCAATCTGTTCAACCTTGAGAATGCAGTAAATGAAAAATATAGATTTGAGATTTTCTTCGTATTTTTGTTGAGCAAACGCGAGGTGTTACTATTCTTTGTTCACGATAAAGCTGACGTTTCGGCGAATTTCGCCTTCTTCAGAGCCTGGAAAGGTCAAGTTGATAGCAACTCACTCGGCCAGACGCCTCCATAACCAAACAAAGAAACTCCAAACCAAGATTTCAATCACTTTGAACACAGCTTTGCACACTCACCGCTTTCTATGAGGTTTCCACTAAGTATGTCACGTAGAGACCAACCGCACAGAAATCGCGTGGAAGTATAATGTGCCCCTCACATCAGAAAAGCAGTTTTATATACTGCCCTATATCACGCGTGATAATGAGGCATTCTTCCCTGCGGTTCATTTTCGGATTTCTGGAATTAATCCAGAGTGCTTCGAGAGTTCTTCGCGCCTGTGTTCTTGATTCGCGTGCGAGGATCGTGACACATACTCCGAAGTCGTCCCCGTTATGTCTCTGGGTCCTATGCGTGCCTAGCGGGGTATTTGGTCTATTTTTGCCGGCTAGGTGTTCTTTCATGCGGACAAATCAACGCTGACCCGCTCACTATTCTCCTCCAGAGGTGGTCCTCCAAATATTTAGCACAAAAGTTTTCCTTTAATACAAAAGAAGAAAAGTAAAGAAGTAGAAGAAGAAGCAGCACAGGAGTAAATACCGAAAACTAAACCACGAATGGGCCAAAATGGCAAGGGCTGCTGGTTTGAAACCATCAGTTATCTCTCAACT